GAAAACAAAAGAGCATGGAACTGAAGGAGTGTAGCCATGCATTGCCTACCAGAGGGGATGCGTTCTGAGACACAGCACGGTTAGGCAGTCTTGTCACTGTGCAGGCATCACTGTGTACTTACACAAACCTGGATGGTGTAGGGGAGTTCCTCAGTGTGGCCTCTTGCACTAAACACGGGATGTGTGAGGCTGCTGCTAATGTAACACAGACACCATTTTATGGTAAACTTTTATTTATTTTTATTTTTTTATTTTAATTTTGGTACTGGGGATCAAACTCAGGACCTTGTGCTTGTAAGGCATGCGGCGGCACCACTGAGCTAAGTCCCCGGCCCAATCTTTTATTTTTTTATAAGTAGAAGGGAGTATAGTCAGTTATAAGTTGAGTAATAAATTGAATCTAAATGGAAGTGATATTTCCATACCTTACTTAAAATAATGAAAAAAGCCATATTATGGTTAATATTTAAAGCAGTAGGGCTGGGGATTTAGCTCAGTGGTTCTGCCGTCTGCCCCACAAGTGCAAGGACCCAAGTTTGATCCCTGGTACCAAAAAAAAAAATATTTAAGAGCAGTAAAAGAATTCTTTATCAATCGCAAATATATACTATACATAATTGTGCTAGACTTCTGTATGATTTGCAGCATAGTAGGTTTGTTTATATCGTCATCACCACACATGTGAGGAATGTGTTGTGCTCTGATCCTATGATGACTATGACATTCTTAAATGATAGTTTTTCAGCTCTGCCACAATCTTATGTGACCACTATTTTATATGTGGCCACTCTGACCAACATGTTTTTATGTAGTGCATGGCTGTATTTGGAGAAATAATGACAAGATAGCCCAAATTTGATGGAAGACTCCAACCTACAGATTCAGAGATTCAAGTGAATCTCAAATGGGATAAAACTAAAGAAATCCACACCAAGACACCTTATACTTAATGATCTGAAAACTGAAGAACTAAAATAAATGTGGAAAGCAGCTAGAGAGAAGCACTATGGTGCCCCTAGGATAATAATAGTTGGAATGCTATCAGATTTCTCATGGGAAACACTGAAGCAAGAAGGAAGTAGTGCCTCATTTTTCAAGGGCAGACAGAAGAAGAACTATCAACCCAGAATTCCATATCTGGAAAAACTATCTTTTAAGATTAAAGGTATTATTAGTGAAGCAAAACAAAAAGAATTTGTTGTTGCTCACCTGCCTTTAAAGGCTAAAGAAGGTGCTTCAAACTGAAGGAAAGGATGAAAGATTCTTGGAGCATTTGGAGGAAAGAATGGAGAGGGAAGAAATATGCATAGGTATAATAGATGACCATGCTTGTGGGAATTGTATAACTCGTATTTGAAGATTGAAATAAAAAGTATAATAGCATGTGATAAGACAATGATATTTAAGAGGGAGGAACTTAAAGGAACCTAAATGGAAGTGGTCTTTCCACGCTTAAGGTAGTAAAATATCCATAGCAAGAGACTGTGATGTGTGTGTGTGTGTGTGTGTATATATATATATATATATATATATATGTTATAATACCCAGAACAACCACCATGAATACTCAAAAACACAAGATAAATTAAGATGGAATCCTAAAAATATTTACATAACCTGTAGTAAGTAAAGAAAGAGTAACAGGAATGAGGAGACACAAATTCCCAATATCAGGAACAAAACAAGCTTTTACAATAGGTCCTGCAGCCATTGACATGATAAGGGAATGCTACAAACAAGTTTATGTTGACAAATGGGGCAACGTAGATGAAATAGATCTATTCCTAGAAAACCAGAAATTACCAAACATCAACCAAAATGAAATAATTTGAGTAGACTTGTAATCATCAAAGAAAAGGATTTATAATTAAAAGATTGCCCCCAAAATCTCCAGGCTTAGATGGTTTCACTGGAGAATATTACCAGACATTTAATGGAGAATTGACATATCTTAATCACTTTTCCTCATCTCTGGGACAGAATACCTGACACCCACAATTGAAGGAGGAGAGGTCTATTTTGGCTCATGCTTTATAAGTTTTAGTCCTTGCATGGTCAGCAGCATGGAAAGAAGGCCCTGGTGTGAAGTAAAATTGCTCACATCATGCCAGCCAGGAAGCAGAGTCTGAAGAATGGAGCCTGGGAGGCAGATGCACCCTACCAGGTCACCCCCCAGTGACCTACCTTGTCCAGCCAGGCTCTACCTCCTAACATCACATGCAACTATAGTGGCCCCATGATTCAGTCACCCTTCAAAGTTCTGCCATTGAGCACATGAGGCTTTGGGGACACATCCAGATATAAACCCTAACATGGTATCAGTTTTACCATATCTTTCTAGAGAGAGGTGACACTTTCAAACTCATTTTATAAGGCATATGTTAACATGATCCAAAGCTTGACAAAGACAGTGCAGAAAAAGAGAACCCTAAAGCAGCACCTCTCATCAACTTAAATGTACAGATCTTCAACACGGTGTTAACTAGCAAGTATAATTCAGCCTGATACAATAGGAATTCTATACCATAGCCAAGTTGGATTTATTCCAGGCAAGCAAGCCAGATTCATCATCTCGGTAAACTAAAGAAAAAAATCGTGTGATCACATGGTCAGTTGATGCTGAACAAGGATTTGAAGGGTCCAGCACCTCATCATTAAAAACTCGGCATTAAAAATAAAGGCATATTGGGCTGGGGATTTAGCTCAGCGGTTCCGCCACCTGCCTTGCAAGTACAAGATCCCGAGTTTGATTCCCGGTACCAAAAAAAAAGAAAGGAATATTACCCCAACTTGATAAAGAGTGGTCCACAGAATTCTTATAAACTAACAAATGTGCAGTTCTCCAACTTTGTTTCTCCATTGACATATTTGGTGGCCATTACTATGTGATTTGTCATTTGGTAGACCTTTTAAGTTTTTGGGCTGTTTGTAAGGTTTGAATGTTTTGTTGCTACCTTTTATATTTTGAAACTTGGAAGAGAATGTATAGCCATAACATTCTGAATAATACTTTTTTCTTCATTTGTTTTTTTAAAATACAAGTACTAAATGAAATGGACAGGGGAAATTCTTTTATGAGAACAAAAAAGAAATTAAGCCTATTAACAACTGGTAATAAGCTGATAGGATTTTGTGTAATTGTCTTTCATCATGGATAGTATTATACAAGTACACTGATGAATCTTGTATACAGTTGTCCCTCAGTATGCATGGGATTGGTCCAGGACTGCCCCTTGGATACCAAAACCCAAGGATGCTCAAGTCCCTCAGGGAGGGGCAGACAAAGGGGAGTAAAAAGGATCAAGATGAGATGTGTATATGTACTAATTCCCCATGACAAATGTATTATATATTGCAAACATACTAAAAAAAGGGAAAAAGAAAGGTATAATATTTACATAGGTTCTACACATATGCTCCCAATCATACTTTGAATAATCTCTAGATTACTTAAAATACCTAATACAGTGTAAATGCTAAATCAGTAGCTGTTTCTATTATGTTACTTAGGAAATGATGGAAAGTCTGTACCCCACCCCCCACCCCCCAGTAATTTTGATCAGTTAGCTCCTTGGTTGTGAAACTACATATGTAAAGGCTGCCTGTGTGTCTTCTCTTTCATTCTCCTTTGCTCTTGCTATTAATTCCATACTGTTCAGTCACTTGATCTCGGAATCTCAGTTATCTTGCCTGACTTCCTGTTTTGCCCCTGTAAGGGGAAATGGCACTGATTATACCTCTGTAGTTCCCTTTCGTTTTCCTCCAGTGATCTTCGAGTCAGGTCATCAGTACCCTCTCAGGTCCTCTGCATAGGGTTCACTTTTGCTGAACTCAAGCTCATTTTGTACAGAGCTTCTGGATGAAAGCTAGTGATGTACTACTTTATTATTATTACAAAAAAGTTGACTTTAAGTTTTCCCACAACACAAGAAAGATTACTATGTGAGCGGATAATTAACTTGTTGATGATATTCATTTCACAGTGACACGTGTAACAAACCATGTTGTACATCTTGAATATGCACAATTTTAATGATAGTATAATACAGCTGAAAAATAAAACCAGTTTTTATGTCAAAAGTTGTTAAAAAATTTTAGGAAATTAGGCTTATAGTCAGCAGATCTTTTTGATAATATATATATATTTTTGTACCGCTATCGAACTTGGGTCCTTGAGCTTGCACAGTAGGCAGCGAAACCACTGAGCTAAATCCCCGGCCGGCCTTTTGATAACATTTTTAAAAGCTTGATATTATTTTGGTGCCAATGCTGCGTTGATTTAGGATATTTCTTCAAATTACCTTCTTCTTATACTTACTGATTTGTGCAGTTTTTATCACTCATGGAACATGGCTTTATTCTTTTTATTAAATAGTGTTGGGATTAACTCGTGTCTTATACTTGTGTACTTACATGTGCTGGTTGTCCCCTTAACTGTCTCAAATATGCCAGAAGTCTGTCCATTGAGTTGACGGGGAATCTACTCCAAGATGCCTTCCCTTACCCACCCATCCCTATTCAAAGCAGGGGTCCTTTCGCTTCTGAGCATGGTCTCCAGTTCTTTGGAGCCTGACTTGTCTGTTCCTTGGCATTATATATTATTTTATTTATATATATATATTGGTACCGGGATCGAACTCGGGTCCTTGCGCTTGCGCAGCAGGCAGTGAAACCACTGAGCTAAATCCCTGACCCCATATTGTATTAATATTACGTGAGGCACTTTGATGGATTTTAACTTAGAGTGTCAAAAACCCTCCATATGGAGCTTTCAGAGTTAATGAATCATAGATTTATTTTATTGGGTTTTAGAAAACCCAAAGCACTGTCAAAACACTGTAATGGTAGAATATTAAGTTTGTGCATCATGTAGATATCAGTAGGGATATTCATGGTTGTGAAGTAATTGCTTTATAATTTTTTTTTCATGCTTTATTCTTAAAAGTCTTGGTGCTTTGATGATTTTATTCAGACTGTGATTTGTCTTTTGCTTGTCATAGTCCATGCTTCGAGGGAGAGGAGGTTGCTATAAACACACGTTCTACGGCATCGAAAGCCATCGCTGCATGGAAACTACCCCAAGTTTGGCATGTGCAAATAAATGCGTTTTCTGTTGGCGGTAAGTAAGAACGCGTGACCATGATGACCAGGCACATGCATGGTGACCGCTGGACATGCAGGCCTGCCAGAGAGTTCTGTGGTATCTGAGGTTAAGCCCTTTTCCTTTTACAACAGTATGTTTTTTTGCATTGGTGTTTTTTCTTGGGCAGTTGCATAAAGAGGTTGTCAGGAGTTTTAGTGTTTTTGTAGTACTGATTTTTAGCCTATGGCTCTTATTCATTATCTATCTATCTACCTCTGTTTTCTAATTCATTCATATACTACTATTTTTTAAAATTCTTTTTCTAATTTAAGTTGGATTGTTAAGGTCTTTAATTTTCAGACTTCTATAAGTCTTTATAAATTTTGCTCTAAGAACCTCTTTGCCCACATCTCATAGATGCGATAGTATGGTCATTGCCAGTTGTGACATGCATTTATTAATTTGCATGTGACTTTGGGTAACACATGGGTCACACAAGCACTTATTGTAAATGTTATATATAATTTGGATTTTACGAGGACATATTCCTGTTACTTATTTTCAACCAGATTGTTTTATTGTTATAGGATATGGGTTGTATAATTATAAAATTTATTGGGAAGTATTATAAGCCTAATATATGGTCAGTTTTTAAAATTTTTTCATATGTACATGAAAAGAGGGTATATTTTTTAAATTGTTGGCTACTAAAACAACAAAACTTACTGTCTGTTACTGATTACATGTTTTATTATTTAGAGTTCCTCTTTATCCATAAAAATGCTCTTTTTTTTTTTTTTTTTTTTTTTGGTACCAGGGATGAAACTCAGGACCTTGTGCTTGCCAGGCAGAGGCTGTGCCACTGAGCTACATCCCCGGCCCTAAAAATACCTTTTGCTCAAAGTCTGTGTTGTCTGATATTAATATAGCTACACTAGCATTCTTTTAGTTATTAATACTTGCCAGGTCTTTATTTTTCTTCCTTTTGTATATCCCCAACTTTGTATTTTAGGTATGTTTCTTATAAACAAGTATTTGGATCAGTGTTTTAAAAATCAACTTTATTGCAGTTTAATTTACATGTAATGAAATGTTCCTATTTAAACTGTAGTTCAGAGTTGTGATAATAGTGTACACCTGTGTAACCACAGCACAATGAAGGCGCAGAGTATTTTCATCACTCCTAGCAGTTTCCTTGTACCCACTTCTAGTCAGTTTCTCTCACTTCACCCTGGCCCCAGCGCCAAACTGATTTACTTTCTGGCAATCTATATCATTGTTCTTTTTCTATGCTTGCATAGAAAAGCAATCATGTGTAGTTTCTTTTGCTCAGTGAAAGGGTTTTTTTTTTTTTTTTTTTTTTTTTTTGAAAGGGTTTTGATGTCATCCACGTTGTTGCACACATCACTAGTTCCTTTTCATTGCCGAATAGTGGTCTGCCCTATGGTTTTGCTACAGTTTGTTTTCTATTCCTCTCTAGGTGAACACTGCAGTTGTTTCCAGCTTTTGACTGGATTGTGAATAAAGCTGCTGGGAGTACTAGTCTATAAAATTTTTGTAGATAAGTGGTTTCATTCTTCTTAGATAAATGTCTGTTTGTGGAATTACTGGATTTTTAAAGTCCATTTGTCTTATTTGTAATGATTATTGATAAATACTGACAAATTATCAGTAAATATTTATTTTTATTCTATTCTTTTGTTCTGTGTCTCTTTCTCCTTTTGCTAAGGTATTTGTGTGGATGTTGGAGACTTCACATTGTCTTGCTGGAAATACAAGGTCTGACTATGTTTTCCAGCTGTTAACACCAGTCACTCATAGAACCTAATCTTTTACCTGAGTTGGAAATGTTTACGTGAAGGAATTGCTGTGTTTCTCTCTCCCTCTTTCCTCCCATTTCTTTCCTTCGCTCACTGATGTGCTGATTCTCCAGCTCCTCTGTACACTCTTCCGTTCTCTGCAGGCTGACTCACATCTTCTCTGCAGCTCGTTACTATGACCACTGATGACTTCCTTACTAGCAGATCTCCCAGAAGTCACTTCATTATTATTTTGATGAACTCTAGTGAAGAATACTAGGTAAGATCTACTACTGGATTCAGATGCACCAATCTCCTTGTGGTTTCCTCCTCCTCCCTGGACAGTTTTCTCAATTTCTCCATTAACTCTTCAGTTAACTCATTAAGAAAATTTAAAAAAATCATAATTATTAACATATATTAATGGTACAAATTAATGAGACTCATCGTGCTATTTCCATGCATACATATATCATGTCTACCTACCTTCTACTCTTGTTCCTTCTCCTGGTTCCCCCTATTCCCACTGCCTAAAACTCCCTCTTACATTCTTCATCTGATGTATCCTTTCTGATACTGTCTTTCATTTTTCTCTCTATATATGATAGTAAGAGTGAATATTTCGTCTCTGGATCCAGTCTCCTTTCCGAGTTTCCTTTCTTCATTTGCGGTTGTCGATCGCACCTGTTCTCTTGGATGATCCATGGATACTTCAAGTCTGACTTGCTCACAGTGGAATTTCTTAGCGTGTTTTAACCCATTCTTGCTGTTTTGGATAATGTTGCCATTCGCTATCTGATAGCTCAGGCTTGAATTTCTTCCCATTTCCTAACTCACCATAATCATTGCTTGTCTAATTCTGTTGACTGTGTTTCAGGTGCTCATTATTTCTCCTTTTAACAATTAAAATGATATAACCTGTTACAGTCTTTGCCATCCCTTAATTTGTCTTTATATTGGTGTGTGACTTCTAATTCTTTTTTTGAAATGTTACTTTAAACAATATCATTTTGATTTTAGGATTACAAATAAATTTTTTTTTTTGGGTACCAGGGATCGAACTCAGGTCCTTGTGCTTGGGCTGCAGGCGGCAAAACCACTGAGCTAAATCCCCAGCCCACAAATAAATTTTTAATATCATTTTGATTTTAGGGTTACAAATAAATTTTGCTGAGTAGGCACTGTAACATATGGAATCGGTGTAGAATGAGGATCAGTGATACTTTGAATTGATATCACCATAAGTGCAATAGAAGTACAAGCTTTGCTCATGCACAGTTCCACCTCTTCCCCTTTATGTTTTTGCCACAAATAGCAACTCTAAACATTATATGCCCATTAACATAGGTTTTTAATTGGTGGTCTTATAATACTGTACCTTTTAAAAAAATCATCTAGAAAAAACAGGAGTTGCAATAAAAATACAATGTTTATATTTTCCCTGTCTTTATTTTTGGTGTGCTTTGAGTCTTCTGTTCCTCTCCCTTGTGCTTGAAGGATTCCCTTTAGCACTTCTTGTAGAGTAAAACCGCTAGCAGTGTGCTCCTGGGACTTTTTATCTTTCAGGGTCTTAATACTACCTTCATCCTTGCAGAATAATTTTGCTTGATTTAGAATCCTTGATTAATTTTTTTTTTCCTTTAGCATTTTAACTATGTCATGCTGTTGCCTTCTGGCCTCTGCTGAGAAACTGATCTTTTCTTATTAAGGGCCTCTCGTACATGATGAACATCTCCCCTTGTGCTTCCTTTAGGGTTCTCTTTGTCTTTCAGCAGTTTGATTACGACATGTTTCCGTGTGCATCTCTTTGAATTTATTGCACTTGGAGTTTGTTTCAGCTTTTGTCTTTTATTTAGTTTGGGATGTTTTCAGTAGTAATTTTTTTCAAATATTCTTCTGCCTCTTCTACTTTTCCTCCTCTGGTACTCTACATGCATGTGTTGGTACACTTGATGGTATTCCATGTCTTTCTGTTACTGGATCATGTCCTAAAGCTCTGTTATATTTTCTGCACTGTTTTTCTTCCTCACACTAGGTAATTTCAGATTGAGTTCTTTCTTTTTGTTCAAGTTTACCTTTGAAACCCTTTAGTGAACTTTTCATTTCAGATATTATCTTCCTAGCTCCAGAGCTCGTTTCCTTTTATCATTTGTATCTCTTTATTGACATTCTGTATTTGTTGAGACCTTATTTTCCTCAGTTGCTTCAACTCTTTGGCCATGGTTTCCATTACCTGTCTACATATGTTTTAGATCATTGATTGGATATCTTTTTCTAGTAGGTCTGATTGTGCTTCCTCAGGAAAGGTTTTTATTAAGTTCTCCTTGAATGAGCCATACTTTGCTCATTTCTTTTCTTGCTTTGTAATGTTTTATTGAAATCAAAATAACTATGCCGCTGCTGTGCAAGTGTAAGGACCCAAGTTCGATCTCTGGTACCAACCCCCCCCAAAAAAACCCCCCAAAAAACCTTGATTATCACGTTAACTCTGGAAATCATTCTTGCCATTCTTTAGGATTTGTTTTTGTTGCTTGCTCTGAGCTTTACTAGTTCTTTGCTTAGTGAGTTTTCTAAGCTTTATTTATAAGGGATCTGTTCTTTGTTTTGTATTGTCTCTCAAGTCTGTCCTGTAAGCTTAGTAGTCAGGTAGTGTTTTGACAGAGATTTTCTTGAGCTCATGGAGCCAAAGGAAAAAAAGGAAAGAACCTCTGATAGTCACTGCAGCCTGTATTGGATGTGCCTTAAAGCTTAGACAGATCATTTACAGCTCTGCCTTAGCCATCACTTCCTACTCTGCTGAGCTGAAAGATCACAGATGAAAGTTTAGGGTCTTCTCAGGTCTGTTCTTAGCCTGCATTCTGATCTGTGTGAAGCTCTTTTAAGTTTCCGGGTTGTATGTGAGCAATTTTCAGAGTCCTAATTCACCTGCTAGTCTGTCTCCTCTGGCTTTAACCATAACCGTCTGATCCAAGCACCGAGCACCCAGCATCAAGTTGTTCATCTGCCTACCATAAACATCCCTCAACCCCAACTTTGAAAAAACTTTTTATTATGGAATTTTTTTTTTTCTTTTTGGTACCAGGGATTGAACTTGGGTCCTTTCACTTGCGAGGCAGGTGGTGGATATTATGGAATTTTTTAAACATAGATGGAAAGAAAGAATAGTACAATCAACTTCTGTGCACACTTACTGTATAATCACATGCCATTTATTTTCCTTAGTCTTATTTTAATACA